GCTGTCAAAAGTTAAACGATTCACATTGCAAGGGTATCGTCTCCGCCCACGATGGCAGGAAGAACATAATGAGGATTGAGGATGGGGAGATCTGGAGTTCCAGCTGTTCAAAGATGTCATTGCCACATGTCTGGAAATTTTGTTGAACTATGGTATGGCAGAATGACGGACCACTACAAGAATTGAGGAATAATTTTTTTTCAATAGTGACAGGAACATTATCTATATGAGAAATGAAGAGAAAGATCATGAGCTTGGGTAGCATTCTGTACAGTGATGATGCCTGTACTGCTCTTAAAGCATGAAAAGAAATATCTTTACCAACATGGCACGGAGTGCCTTGGCCAATACTGTGGTAGGAAAGATAGGCGGTAAGAGGAAGTCGGTCGTAAAGTGAAGAATTTAGTCTATTGTGGCAGTCTGAAACTGAGCGTGGGAAAGGAGTGCGCAAGACGTGTCGATCTTTCTGAAAGAACGAGAAGGTGGAGAATATCAGCAGTAATTGTGTCGTGGCGTTTAGGCGTGGGACATAGTTGGGTCCGACGTGGTAATGGGCCAGCGATTCGAAAATTGCCGCAACCGTAGAGGGAGAGGCCGGAAGCATAGTCAAAGGAGAGCGGAGGTCAGATAAATCAAAGATCAGTCAGACCTCAGTACCTGAAGCGGGTGAGGAAACAGCACCGCAAGAGGTACAGAGGTATAGAGGAGTGTCCGAGAGAGTGTCCAAAGACAGGCGGGGTCAAAACGGGGTGCGGTATCAAGAAGGGGCCTGGGGGTACCAGTTTCATGATGGGTTCTCCATGGTTTTAGGTACTTCTTTCTTTTTGTTTTTAAAGAAAAAAAAGAAGAAGAAAAGAAAATAAAAATAAAAAAAGAATAAAAAAAAGGGGGGACTGGGAGGGGATACGTTCCTAGGAGGAATGAAAGGGCCAGAAATCTCCCCTCTGCTGCCCCAAGAAATGTCCTCAGCACCACAAGTAGAGTAGATGCTGCATGGAACCCGTGCCATAAAACCCTACCCATACATGCCAGTAAACCAGCAATCCGGGATAGCACCCTCACATCTGCGATCTACCTGGAGGCCAAAAAAGAGGGCGGCCGGAATATTCCGCCACAAAGCATACCTCCTTCGGCCACCACCCCCGGAATCCGAAAGGTGGCTTCCAGAGATACACCTGTGGCCCGAAAGACACCCAAACCCACTCATCCTCCAGGATACCGTAGAGGAATCGGGACATCCCCAGGTGATCCAGATTCCACGGCAAACTATGCCACCGCCAAGAACCTCAACGGAATGGGATTGACCCCGGTACCCTTTCCCCTACCTAGGAACTAGTGCGCCTGTGGGAAAAATCCCAAAGGCCAAAAAGAGGAAGGGCAAAAGGGAGGGGTGGGGAGGGAGAGGAGGAAAGGGAAAAGGGGAGGATGGGATAGGGAAGGGGGGATTGGGGGGTAATTAGGTTCGGTCTGAGGAAGGAGACCGACAGGTCTAATTCCTCAGACCAAGAGCCTCTTCACCATGCCAAGGAGCCCCCCTTGAAGAGGCACATCTTGATAAAGCCAGTGTGTCACAAACACATCTTGATAAAGCCAGTGTCACAAACACATCTTGATAAAGCCACAGTGTCACAAACACATCTTGATAAAGTCAGTGTGTGAAACATAGTCAATAAAGGATCACTTTATACTTTGTGTCTATTTTTCCATATTGCTCTACTTTGTCCTTTGGATGTATGGAAGTTTGTCATGGGATTCTCTCTGCAGTTTGCAATGATGATTATTGTAGTTTTATAATAAATGTTTTGGGTGTTGTAATCTTCCTGACATATCAACATCACTGTTATATACAAACCTCATAATTAATATTATATAATATTGATATTAAAATCTCTGGGCCCACTAGATCCACACTAACCAAACTAAAGTACAGTGGTACCTCGGGATACGGAGCTCAAAACTCGAACAATTATGCAAGTGTATTTATGTAAGTGCTTTTGTAAGTGTATTTTTGGGGGTCTGAAATGGATTAATCTAATTTACGTTATTCCTCATGGGAACAAATTCGTTCAGTATCGGCACTCGAACAGCCTTCTGGAACAAACTAATTTCGTATCCCAAGGTACCACTGTACTGTACTATATTGTACATGTCTATGCCATTACTATAACTTGTAAATGATAAATGTATAGGTAATCCTGGCTTTATGCATCATTGTTCCATGCCTAAGACAACCGTACCACACTGCTACACCAGCATCTAAGCATAAGAAAAGAATTTTTCCTTTGAAAGTCATGCATGTCATAAGAGGCTACTAAAATGCCAGCAGCAAGGGGCTAGTAACCCCTTCTCCTGTATACACACTAAATATAAAAAAAAAGACTTTTGTTTTTCTTTTTAGGTCACCCTGCCTCAGTGGGATATGGCTGGCACATTGAAAAAACTTCTGAAAATTATGAGACCTTTACTCACTCTGCCTGAGGTATCCCAGCAAGTGAGCCCATCTCCTGTATTATCCCAGTGCTTAACAGAATAGGGAATGGCATAAGAGGGTACAAATAAAAATGGGAACTATGGCTATAGTTTACTTAATAACATAAAGAGCAAGAATACAACATATCCTGACAGAAAATTACATAATATAACAATTGACCTATGAGACTTATTACCAGGGGAAGGATAGATGATATCAGTAACACAGACTTGTACTCACTCTTAATTCACCGACCACCTGACCCGAGATTCGCAATGCGTGGTCCACTACACACACGGCTGTCCAGGGCTCCCGCTCACCGGACCTGTCGCCAACCTCTCTCTCTCTAGCTGTTTCCTTGAGCTTACATGATCTTTAAAGCACCCCCTTCCCCATAAGGCATAGACCACGTGTTACAGCCTGACACCAGTTCAAGAACTTAGTTAAGCCGAGAGGCATGTCTAACAATTATTTGTCAAGGCAAGGTGTGTGACACTTTACTGGAGTTATGTCTCCTTTAGTGACCTCACAAGCACTACATCACAAAATGGCACTCACCTATTTGTGGTTGCAGGGGTCGAGTCCTAGCTCCTGGCCCCGCCTCTTCACCGGTTGCTACTAGGCCCTCTCTCTCCCCGCTCCATGAGCTTTATCAAACCTCGTCTTAAAACTGTGTATGGTTCCTGCCTCCACTACGTCATTTTCTAGGCTATTCCACTGCCTTACAACTCTATGACTGAAGAAATACTTCCTACTATCTCTCTGACTCATTTGTGTCTTCAACTTCCAATTGTGGCCTCTTGTTTCTGTGTCCCCTCCCTGGAACATCCTGTCCTTGTCCACCTTGTCTATTCCACGCAGTATTTTATATGTCGTTATCATGTCTCCCCTGCCCCTCCTGTCCTCCAGTGTCGTAAGGCCGAGTTCCCCTTTAAATCTTTCTTCATGGGAAACATTCCCCTTAGCTCGGGAAACTAACCTTGTTGCAAACCTTTGTACTTTCTCTAGTTTCTTGACGTGCTTTATCAAGTGGGGTTCCAAACAGGTGCTGCATACTCCAGTATGGGCCTGGACATTACACGGTGTACAGTGTCTTGAATGATTCCTTACTAAGGTATCGGAATGCTTTTCTCAGGTTTGCCAGGCGCCCATATGCTGCAGCGTTATCGATTGAGGGTGTGCTTCCGGAGACATGCTCAGGTGTTATACTCACCCCAAGATCTTTCTCCTTGAGTGAGGTTTGCAGTTTTTGGGCCACCTAGCCTTTTACTCTGTCGTGGTCTTCTGTGCCCTTCCCTATCTTCATGACTTTGCATTTGGCAGGATTAAATTCGAGAAGCCATTTGCTGGACCAGGTGTCCAGTCTTTTCCAGGTCTCTTTGAAGTCCTGCCTGGTCCTCATCAGATTTAATTCTCCTCTTTAAACTTCACATCATCTGCAAACAGGGACACTTCTGAGTCAAAACCCTTCCGTCATGTCGTTCACATATACCAAAAATAGCATGGTCCTAGGACCGACCCCTGGGGGACCCCGCTCGTCACGGGTGCCCACTGTGATACATCATTACGTACCATGACTCGTTGTTGCCTCCCTGTCAGGTTTTTCTCTGATCCATTGCAGTGCCTTCCTGTTATATGCGCTGATGCTCTAGCTTCTGCACAAATCTCTTGTGAGGAACGTGTCAAAGGCCTTCTTGCAGTCCAAGAATATGCAATCAACCCACCCCTCTCTCTCTTGTCTTACTTCTGTTTTTTTTATCATAAAACTCCAAAAGGGTTTTTGTGACACAGGATTTGCCTTCCGTGAATCCGTGCTGGTTGGCATTTATACTCCTGTTCCGTTCCAGGTACTCCACCACTCTCCTCCTGATAATCTTCTCCACAATTTGCATACATACCACGTCAATGACACAGGTCTATAGTTTAGTGCCTCTTTTCTGTCTCCTTTTTTGAAAATGGGAACTACATTTGCCGTCTTCCATACCTCAGGTAGTTGCCCAGTTTCCAGGGATGTGTTGAAGATTGTGGTAAGTGGTACACACAACATATCTGCTCCCTCTCTAAGGCCCCCGGAGAGATGTTTTTCCGGTCCCATTGCCTTTGAGGTATCGTGTCCCTTAGCAGTTTCTTCACCTCCTCCTCATCTGTATGTATGTCGTCCAACACTTGTTGGTGTATTCCTTGTTGGTGTCCCCATCTGGTCTGTCCCCCCAGAGTCCTTCCTGTCTCTACTGTAAATACTTCCTTAAATCTCGTGTTGAGCTCCTCACATACCTCTTGATCGTTTCTTGTGAGTTCTCCACCTTCTTTCCTCAGCCTTATCACCTGGTCCTTGACTGTTGTCTTCCTCCTAATGTGGCTATACAGCAGTTTCGGGTCAGAGTTGACTTTCGATGCACTGATTGTACAATGCTGTTGTATAATCCTGAATTATGAGAAAGGCAAAAGAATGCTGTTATTCATTACCTATATGAATTCAGAGATATTCAGTGTCATGTTGATGCCTTGTAAAGCTTAATATATGGAAGATCCTCATCCTACACATTTATAAACATTATTAATACACATTATCATGCACACAACTGTGTGGCTAAATAAATACATCATTGATTATCCAGCAATTGGTCATCTGCCATTCAGAACTGTGTGGCAGTCTTTTTAATACAGACACCTGAAAAATAATACAGAAAAAGAATATATATGTTTTTTTTACATATCGGTCGTCTCTCACCATGAAGGGGCAATGAAATAAAAGAGGAAACACATTCACCATCATTCATTCAATAGCAGTCTTGTCAGAAGGAATGCAACATCACAGTTAATGTGACCCTTTGAACTGTAACATCCTCACTCATCCCTCAGAGTGCAGGTACTGTACTTCCCACCTCCAGAACTGTAACATCCTCACCCATGCTTCAGAGTGCAGGTACTGTACTTCCCACCTCCAGGACTGTAACATCCTCACTCATCCTTCAGAGTGCAGGTACTATACTTCCCACCTCCAGGACTCCAAGTCCCACTAACCAGGTTCTCTGAATCCCCTGATTAATCCTACTTTGCAAACACACTAACAACACCAGAACATCAAAAAAAAATGATTAAACTATCATGTTTTTTACTCTAGTTCAACCCCAGCCAAGGATGCTGCATAAGCGAAGATCTATTCATTTGATCTTATATACAAACCATCTAGCAGACAATAACATTTGCCTGTTTGATGTGAGGACAAGGGAACAGTGGCTACAGTACTCCAGAGATGAACATCCTAGCCAGGAAAATTGTTACATTTATGGAAAATGCTGAATCTGTAGAGATCATCTGAGTATAACCAAGCCAGGTGGTGTATAGCCCAGCCAGGTGTTTTATAGCTCAGCCAGGTGTTGCACAACCAAGCCAGATATTGCATAAGCAAACCAGGTATTGCATAAGCAAACCAGGTATTGCATAACCAAGCCAGGTGTTGCATAACCAAGCCAGGTGTTGTATAACTCCTACAGCATTTACAAATACAGTGGAACCTCTTCTTGCGAGCGTGTCCACGTGCGAGTTTTTCCAAATACAAGCAGTCAATGGGTCGATTTTTTGCTTCCATACGTGAGCAAAATTTTCATAAGCGAGCAGACCTCAGACAGGTTCCTTGACACTGGTGAGGGGCTTTTGCTCTTGATCTCGGGAATTGTATCTCATTTCTTTGTTGGACTATCTTATTGAAACTTGGGCAATGTATGATGGAAAGATGCTTCTTAACGTACACCAAAAATGAAAGAAATCTAAGCATAAATAATGGAGTTCACTTCTCAGCAATTAGCCGTACCTTAGCAGTATATTCGTATGGTTTTTATGGTTGTCTTCTCGTTTTTTTTTTTTGGGTCTCATTTGATAGAATGGAAGATATATTACAGAAATAGATATGATTTTTATTGCTTTTACAATGAAAAGTACCTTGAAATTGAGCTCAGCATAGGAGAAATGGCCTATTGCTTGGCTATGTTTAAGAGTAAACAAATTATGTCACTGTCCATTCCAATATGCAGTCGTGAATGGGTTGACATTATTTATACAATTATTGCAATAAGAAATAACAGTAAATCTTATATTTTTTGTGTGAATAAAAATTACAAATTATTTATATAATAATAATAATAATAATAATGATATGTATAATAATAATATGTTATAATAATAATATGTATAATAATAATAATACTGTAATAGTATAATACAATAATAATACTAATACAGTGGACCCCCGCATAGCGACCTTAATCCGTGCAAGAGGGCTGGTTGTTATGCGAAATGTTCGGTATGCGAATGAATTTTCCCCATAAGAAATAATGGAAATCAAATTAATCCGTGCAAGACACCCAAAAGTATGAAAAAAAAAATTTTACCACATGAAATATACATTTTCCTACACACAAAGAGAAGGATACATGCACAATAGTAGAGTAGTACATGCACAGTATATATTGTGCATGTACTACTCTACTAAATGAAGAATAAATGACACTTACCTTTATTGAAGATGCAGCAATGACTGATGAGACACTGTGTCCTGGGAGTGCCTTTTCCTCCTGAGTACTGTAGGTCCTGTTTGGTATTTTCTTCCAGAACAGGCATTATCACACTGTGTATGCCACTACGATTCTAAATCTCTCAAACCAACCTTTGCTGGCTTTAAATTCACCAATATGAGCACTAGTTCCAGGCATTTTTCCCTGTTCACCTGGGTGTTAGTCGACTGGTGTGGGTTGCATCCTGGGAGACAAGATTAAGGACCCCAATGGAAATAAGTTAGACAGTCTTCGATGACACTGACTTTTTTGGGTTATCCTGGGTGGCAAATCCTCTGGGTTAATTGTTTCTTGGTATTCTCAATAAGCCACACCAACAACGGTGGTACAGCAGCAGCAGCAGCTGACGGTGGTACAGCAGCAACAGACGATGCTACAGCAGCAACAGACGATGCTACAGCAGCAGCAGACGATGCTACAGCAGCAACTGACGATGTTACAGCAGCAGCAGACGATGCTACCAGCTGCAGCAGCCAGACGATGCTAAAGCAGCTGCAGCAGCTGACGGTGGTACAGCAGCAACAGACGATGCTACAGCAGCAACAGACGATGCTACAGCAGCAGCAGACGATGCTACAGCAGCAACTGACGATGTTACAGCAGCAGCAGACGATGCTACAGCAGCAGCAGCAGCAGACGACGCTACAGCAGCAGCAGCAGCTGACGGTGGTACAGCAGCAACAGACGATGCTACAGCAGCAACAGACGATGCTACAGCAGCAGCAGACGATGCTACAGCAGCAGCAGACGATGCTACAGCAGCAGCAGACGATGCTACACAGCAGCAGCAACGATGCTACAGCAGCAGCAGACGATGCTACAGCAGCAGCAGACGGTACTACAGCAGCAGCAGCAGCTGACGGTGGTACAGCAGCAGCAAGCATGACGGTGGTACAAGCAGCAGCAGCAGCAGCTGTACCACCAATAGTAGCGATGGTTGATTGGGTTTATTATACAACCTGGCCAGCTCGGAGACACGCACTCCACTTTCATACTTATCAATGATCTTTTTTCTTCATCTCCATAGTAATTCTCACCCTTATTGCTGTAGGGTTGGCACTAGAAGCTTTCTTGGGCCCCATGGTCACTTATTTTCCAGAAAAATCACCAAAAACACTGTAATAATACGAAATGTTCCGACTGTATGCTTGGATGTTACCGCGGAGGCTGGCTGGTAAACAATGCCACCGGCGGAACATGTGAGCGTGGCTCAGGCCGCACATTGGACGCGTCTCGGACGAAGGGCAGTGAGCGGGTTTTTGGGCGGTATGCGAGGCAAAATTTTTGCGATCAAAGCGTCCGGTATGCGGATTGTACGGTATACGATGCGTCCGGTATGCGGGGGTCCACTGTATAATATGTATAATAATAATACATTTAGGTAGTAGGTTGGTAGACAGCAACCATCCAGGGGGGTACTACCGTCCTGCCAAGTGAGTGTGAAACGAAAGCCTGTAATTGTTTTACATGATGGTAGGATTGCTGGTGTCTTTTGTCTGTCTCATAAATATGCAAGATTACAGGTACGTCTTGCTACTTCTACTTACACTTAGGTCACACTACACACACATGTACAAGCATATATATATACACACACCCCTCTGGGTTTTCTGCTATTTTCTTTCTAGTTCTTGTTCTTGTTTATTTCCTCTTATCTCCATGGGGAAGTGGAACAGAATTCTTCCTCCGTAAGCCATGCGTGTTGTAAGAGGCAACTAACATGCCAGGGGCAAGGGGCTAGTAACCCCTTCTCATGTATATATTACTAAATGTAAAAGGAGAAACTTTCGTTTTTCCTTTTGGGCCACCCTGCCTCGGTGGGATACGGCCGGTGTGTTGAAAGAAAGAAAGAAAGAATAATACATACTCAACCCCTGCCAATTTGGATTCAGGAAAAATAAAAGCACTAACGATGCAATTGTAAAAATGCTAGATCTGCTTTGCACAGCATTGGAAAATAAGGAATATCTGCTAGGAATTTTTATTGACCTAAGAAAAGCGTTTGACACAGTAGACCACGGCATCCTATTCCACAAACTTGACTATTATGGTATAAGAGGCCATGCGCTTGCATATTTCAAATCCTACCTTACTAATAGTTATCAGTATGTCACTATTAAAGACACAGCCTCATCAACACGGCCACTTGATACTGGAGTTCCGCAGGGAAGTGTCCTTGGTCCCCTGCTCTTCCTCATTTACATTGATCTTCCAAACGTATCCCAACACCTGAAACCCATTTTCTTTGCTGACGACACGACTTACGTCATCTCCCACCCTAATCTTGCCACCCTCAACACCATTATCAACAAGGAGCTGCTCAAAATTCTGACTTGGATGACAGCCAATAAACTTACACTTAACACTGACAAAACCTACTACATTATGTTTGGTAGCAGAGCAGGTGTTGTGCAACTTAACATTAAGATCGACAACACTCTAATTGCCATACATAATGAGGGCAAATTCCTAGGTCTATACCTCGACAACAACCTAAATTTCAGCACCCATATCCAAAACATAACAAAAAAAGTATCCAAAACGGTGGGGATCCTCTCCAAGATACGATATTACGTGCCATAAACTGCCCTTCTCACACTATACCATTCACTCATTTATCCATACCTCACCTATGCTATTTGTGCTTGGGGATCAACTGCAGCAACACATCTAAAGCCAATAATAACCCAACAAAAAGCCACAGTAAGAATAATCACTAAATCCCATCCCTGGCAACCCCCGCCCCCCACTCTTCATAGATCTAAACTTACTCCCTGTTCAGAACATCCACACTTACTACTGTGCAATCTACATCTACAGGACCTTAAATTCCAATATTAACCTTGACCTAAAACGCTTTCTTGATAGTTGTGACAGGACCCACAGGCACAACACCAGACACAAACATCTCTATGACATTCCCAGTGTCCGACTAAACCTTTACAAAAATTCAATATGTGTCAAAGGGCCTAAAATCTGGAACACCCTACCTGAAAACTCTAGAACTGCAGACACATTCATCACTTTCAAAACTACAGTTAGAAAACATCTTATCTCCCTGATACACCCTGTCAACTAACTACATGTAAACCACCTGGTGGTTCACACTTACACTCACTCACCCATTGACTATAAACACAGAAATACGAATCTTTATCTTAAAATAATGAATCCTAACTAGTCATAAGTTTGCCTATGATACTCCAATATAGAAACTATGTATTGTGCCAAAACAAAAGCATTCACATTGCTAAACTCACAAACTATAATGTAGTCACTTAGCCTTAATACCATAATCTGTAATAATTTAAAGTTTAGAATTAATCTAAGTCTGCCCGAAATGCCTAGCCATGCTAGGTGTCCTAGTGGTCCCCTCTGTAATTAGTATTTTAAAACATGTAAACCACACAATATCCAAAATCTGTAAACCCCGCATCGTAATCCTTATAGAGAATAAACTTGATTGATTGATTGATATATAATAACAATGTACTACATATAATAATAGACGGCTTCAAAAGGCTGTCACTAGATGGTAGTGTTTACCACAACAAAGAGGGAGCAGCTGTGGCCACCTCCACCTGTTACATAATGACATATTTTATTCATTCTAGAGTATATATCAGGTTTCTATGTGATTTATATTGTTTATTTCATATTAGACGAATTGTGATAGATAAATAAGCCAAAGAGTTGATGATAGTGAAATATTCAAGGAGTATGTTGTCCTGTCTCCAGACAAACTCTCGTCGGCTGCCGACACCACCCATACCACTACATGAATGACATATTTTATTCATTCTAGAGTATGTATCAGGTTTCTGTGATTTATGTTGTTTATTTCATATTAGAAGAACTGTGATAAATAAGCTGTAGAGTTGATGATAGCAAAATATTCAAGAAGTATGTTGTCCTGTCTCCAGACAAACTCCCGTTGGCCGCCGACGCCGCCCATACCACTACATGAATGACATATTTTATTCATTCTAGAGTATATATCAGGTTTCTATGTTATTTATACACAAATAACCCGCACATAAAAGAGAGAAGCTTACGACAACGTTTCGGTCCGACTTGGACCATTTACAAAGTGACTTTGTAAATGGTCCAAGTCGGACCGAAACATCATCGTAAGCTTCTCTCTTTTATGTGCGGGTTATTTGTGTATTGTTCCAGTCACAGTATTGTGCCTTTTTTTGTTATTTCTATGTTATTTATATTGTTATGTCATATTAGACGAACTGTGATAGATAAATAAGCCGTATAGATGATATTAGTGAAATTATTCATGAAGTATTTTGCCCAGTCTCTAGACAAACTCTCGTCCACTGCCGACACCGCCCATACCACTACATGAATGACATATTTTATTCATTCTAGAGTATATATCATGTTTCTATGTTACTTATATTGTTTATGTCATATTAGATGAACTGTGAAAGCCGTATAATGATATTAGCGAAATTATTCATGAAGTATTTTGCCCGGTCTCCAAACTCTCGTCCACCGCCGACACCACCCATACCACTACATGAATGACATTTTACTCATTTTAGAGTATATATCAGGTTTCTATGTTATTTATATTGTTTATTATGTCATATTAGATGATGTGAGACGGATAAATAAGCCGTGGAGTTGATATTAGCGAAATTATTGAAGTACAGAATTCCACTGGAACGGATTAATTGCATTTCAATTAATTTAAATGAGGAAAACTGACTCTGCAAACGAGCAAATCCAGTTGCGAGCAAGGTCATGGAATGGATTAAACTCGCAAGTAGAGGTTCCACTGTATACATGAACCACAAACAATAAATACATCGTTCTCCTTTTTAACTTTGATATACATACAAAAAAAATTCCTGTGATAAAATGGAAAGTGTCCTCAAACACATATACTAGAGCAGTATTCCTGCAATAAATGGCTATTCTTTTATCACAATACCATACACTACAGGTGCACCTCAACTTACAATGATTCGACTCAGGATATTTCAACTTGACGATGTTGTTTATCATATCATTTTCGATGGTTTTGTGGGAACATAACCCCACTATAAGTTGATAAGAACCTGTAGCACAAAATCTAGTGAAAAAAGTATTTTACAAATTCACATTATCCATTCTTATGAGATGACAAACTTATTAATCATTAAATACATAAAAAAATGATGCTACTACAACTTTTTACAATAATTAACAAAGTGATCCTCTCAATACATAAGTGTTTCACAAGGCAAGACTTTTATAATCCAGCCTTACAGACTTACCTTCAGAGTCGTTGGGAAGCTCTAAACTCATACTGATTATACAGCACCTGAGAAACAACAAATTATGTTTTTTATATACAAGATGATTCAGTAAAAACAAAGCAACAATGCAGGGTGACCCAAAAAAGAAGAGAGACTTTGACCATCATTCACGCCATCACTGTCTTGTCAGAGGCACACAGATTCAAAAACCTTAATAATTAAGTACTATTTGCAACTTTCCATATTTAGAACCCTTGGTTCCCTTCATGTGGCCTTAATAAAACACCGAAAAAACAAGGATAATGAATTACAAAACCGTTTTTATTCCTAAAAGTACACTAACTTACATTTCGTGGTACATAAAACCTCTACGTATTAAGAAAAAACACTTATTTGTCAACTAAAATACTAAACAATAATGACAAAAATTAAGTAACTGATCAACATTTGGAAAGGAAATATTTAACGAGCATTTGGTTTCAAATCGTGTACTTTTAATAGTGGCCCAGGATGACCTTTATTAAGTGACTTTATAATGGTCCAAGATGTACCTTTGTCAGTATAATGTCAGGATGTACCTTGTCAAGCAACTTTATAAAGGTACAGGATGTGCATTTGGGAGTCATGATGTAAATAAAAGGAGTAGAGAGGACCAAGGACAAATATACATGAACCACAAAAAATAAAGACAACTAACAGGCTGAGTACTGGAGTCACGCCATTTATGAATACATACAAATGTCCTTCACCGCTAAGATAAGATTTTATGTAATTGAGAGAGTGTCCCTCTGACCCCATAATGCTCTGAGTTTTAGGTGCATGGTAATTGGTGGTCTTCTGTATCAAATGCTTTCTGTAGTCTATAAGAGCCTCAAGATATTAATTTTTTCAAGTCACTGTATTTAGTAATTTGAGTCAACTGAAATAACTGATCATTTGTGCTTTTTATTCAGGTCTAAACCCAAACTGGCAAAGGTTCAGTATGTTATGGGATATGGAGGTAGGAGTAGCTTTTTTTATTATGGACTATTTTTTTCGAAGATTTCAGAGGCCAAAGGAGAGTTAGATGTTTATTCTGTATTCTTTAGTTCTGTATATATAGTTAAATAGTATTTTGAAGTGACCAGTGCTGTCTTGAGTATGGATGGCAAGTCACCCCAATCCTCAAAAGAAGGCACGCTCCTCAGAACTAAATAACTACAGACCAATATGATAAACTTGCCTTTGCTCTCTAAAAATCTTCAAAAAAATAGTACATAAACAATCTATTCCTACCTCCTATCCATAACATACTGACCCCGGCCACTTTGGGTTTAGGCTGAATAAAGCACGAGTTAGATACTGGTCTGTTATACCTCATGTTAATAATAAAGCAAATGAACTTAATTACGAACTAAAAAAATGTAAGATTGAGTTTATCATAAATTGATTGTATCATGAATTGTACTACCTCATACATTAATAACAGAGTGAAATATAGAATATTTGTATTCTACCACTGTAAAAGAACTAATTATGAACTTAGAAATGTAAGATTGTATCATGAATTGTGCTACCTCAGATGCTCGAATTACTATATACGTACAGGAAGGCCCCACTTATACGGCTGGTTAGGTTCCAGGCTACCGCCGTAAAGCGGAAACTGCCGTAAAGTGGAACGCCCTTTTTTCCACTTACAAATGCATACAAACACTAGATAACAAGTTTACACTAACATATATTAAGTTAGCAATAGAACCAGGCATCAAAAAACAATAAAAAAGTACAATACACACATAGTGCACTCATTACTTACCTTAAAATATTTACAGTCTTTAATCTAATGGTAGACAAGTAGTAATTATTGTAAGAAATCAAGTGTGGTATGTAGGTAGTCACCCAGGCTACCAACCATGCCACCCCACCCACACATACAATTCTATGATATTTAAGCATCCCAGAGCGATTAAAATGTATATACAGTGTCACTCATTACTTACCTTAAAATAAGGGTGAGATGAGTATAATTTTATTGTAAAAAATCAAGTGTGGTATGTATGGGTAGTCAGAGCCGGCTACCTTACCAGGCCAACCCACCTACACATAATATTCTATTACATTAATCAATCCCCAGAGCGATAAAAAAGATGATATAAACAGTTTCACTCATTATTACCTTAAAAATATGTTGTAGTCCTTAATGTAGGTCAAGAGTAAGTAAATGAAGATCAAACGAAGAAATGAGAGAGAGAAAGAATGAGATGCATGAGAGAGTACAGGCGCAGAGTTATGGTAAACAAACCAGGCGAAGGTAAGTTTTTTGTAAACGAAGTGTACACGTCTGGTTTGTGTACAAGTTACATTGTTTACAGGTTGTTTCTCTACATTGATACGGTAAATAAATAAAGAAGAACACCTCCCATTCCATGTAACATCATTTTGAGAAGAAATGATGCTCTGAGTGAAGCAATGGAAATAAGTCACTCTGATTTTTTTGGGTTATCCTAGGGTTCCTCTACACATATTGTTGTTAATGTAATGATAATCTAATCTATGTACATCTGTATTTGTGTATACCTGAATAAACTTACTTACATACATACGAAAGGAATAATTTTTCTACAGTTACCCCAGAACAACATTTTTCGTCTTATGTTAGTTAGAGAAAATGTTATTCTTGGCATCACACTGTACAAGTTATCTGGTCCTCCATCTCATATTTTATGTTTATTATTCATTTGTAGGGTGTATTTATCATCTTTTTATGATTATGTATCGTGTTTATTAATAATTTTTGAAAAAAATATCATAGAGGATTAATAAAAGTGTAAATTAACGTAATATACAACATTTAAAGAGACTACTCGGTGATTATTATTATTATTATTATTAGCATTTCTAATATGGGCGTCCACTTGTTTACCTGGAGTTTACCAGGAGAAGAGTTTTCGGGGTCAACCGCCCACCGCGGCCCCGGTCCTGTGACCAGCTCCGGTGGATCAGCCGCCTGATCAACCAGGCTGTTTGCTGCTGGGCTGGCACGCAAACTCAACGTACGAGGCACAGCCCGGCTGATCAGGAACTGACTTTAGGTTCTTGTCCATGCCAGCCTTGTGAAGACTGTGCCAGGGGTCTGTTGGTAATCCCCCTTATGTGTGGCTGGGATGCAGTTGAACAGTCTCCGGGCCCCTGACACTTATTGTATGGGTCGCATAACGTGCTAGTACAACACCCACTGGCTTTTCATTGGGGGGATGGGTGGCATCGTCGCCAAGTCTTTTTGCTTTCGTAGTGAGAGTGATTTTCGTGTGCAAGTTCGGTACTAGTCCCTCTAGGATTTTCCAGGTGTATATAATCATGTCTCTCTCCTCCTGTGTTCCAGGGAATACAGGTTTAGAAACCTCAAGGCGCTCCAGTAAATTGAGGTGTTTTAAATATATCTCCGTTATGCGGCCGTGAAAGTTTCTCTGTACATTTCCTAGGGTCCAGCAAATTTCACCTGCCTTGAAAAGGTGTGTTAGCGTGCAGCAATATTCCAGCCTTAGTGCAAGTCGGTCTGCTACCACACTCATATTTATGTTTTATTTATTCTATTGTTGGGGTGATTTATCATCTTTTTATTATGTTAGTATCGTGTTTTATTATATAATTTGAAAAAATATCATAGAGGATAAATGAAAATGTGTATTTTAATAACGTAATATACCGACCATTTAAATGAACTCGATGATATTATTCTCATTACAAATATGACGTCTGGAGACCTAAACACTCTTACTGATTTTTAAAAAAAATGGTGTACCTGCATGCCAGCACAAGTAAAATGTAAGTTTTATTTAAGTACAGGTATACATAAGTATAATTATCAGAGTATATATAAAATATGAAATAACTTTTAAAAACATT